CGCTGTCTCTCGTTACCTCAGCGGGGCGCGGGAAGGGGCCGTGTTATAGTCAGAGAGAGCTCTGCAGCCGGTAAGAGGCAAGAGGTGGGGTTTGGTTTTTCGTCACAGAACGAAATCAAATGTTTTGGTGGCAAGTGTAAGGTTCTGAGTGTGCAGGAGGGCACCCTAGCACAACTTGCAGCAGCAGCAACTCTGGGATACCTGGTGGGGACTGCTGGAAAAGTTCATATTTCCCGAAAGGCAGCAGGGTACGATCTTTACCGAAACACTTTCAGTGTGAACAGCCCCCGCAGTGGATAGGTCCTAGAACCAACCGACCTCCTGAGCAGCAGCAACCCAGGAAAATCGTCCTACTGCTGGGCTTTGGGCATGGCCCTTCAGCTTGGGCCCCAGAACTGACCTTCTGGTCAGCTCTTGAATGATAAACTCACTATAGCATATACCTTCCTTTTTCAGTGTTTTTAGGCCCTAAAGTAGATTGTGAAGGGTTCTTTCAGAACATAATAAGTAAACACGTAACTTTTCCTCTGTTCTTTGGGAACTTTATTTACCTCACTGCCAGTTTTCTGCTTTGTTGAAGGAGGAACTTCTTTCAGTTTATAACATTCTTGTCTACTAAGTGTGCAAAATCAGTAACACTCTGTAATAAATCAGTTCTATACTTCAGTGTGACAATTTTATTCTCATTTCAGCTTTATATTAAGGACATGGTGACTGACTTTGATGAAAAACATGATGAGTACTTAGTATCCCTTCAGCAGAGAAACCGGTAAGATGCAGAATTGTTACCACCATTGAGTATGTAATATCTGTTGTGTACTAGCTGATAGCTTATCTAATATCAGCAGTTGTGAATATTGGTTTAAAAACTTGGTTTTTAAACTTGTGATGCAAAGTCTGACTTGCTTTGCCTTAAAGCATTCAGGTGATTCTCTTCCCTGTGTTTGCTAAGTATATCTAAGTTCTTATTTCTAGAGGAGATCAGCATATTTCTTCAGCATACTTTAAAATATACATCAATTTATTAAGAAAATAGTTATTGTTTCCATGGCTTATAGGGAAGATTTTTGTTTACAGAGTAAGAGGGTCTAGATTTGGAAGCAATGGGCAGCTCGCACGGTGTGAGGGTGTCGTTATGAGGCAAAGTTTGTATGTTGTCAGACATACAGAAAATTGTGTGCAAAAGTTGCTAAAGTTACATGTGCAAAGTCAGGTTCTGCTAAGGTGGGAGATAAGGATATCCAAGTTGCTTTTGTAAACTTCAGTATCTTTCAAATAAGTGCTAAATACCAAATGAAAAAAATCAATGTGAAATGAGAAACAACATGGGAAAAAATCTTAGAAGGGAGAGGCTTGGTCAAACTTCATATGTCACAGTGTGTGGGTGCTCATACAAGCACCACAGAACAGAAGCAGGTCCTGGAAACTATATTCTGAAATTGTTACTTGAACGATGAACATATTTTTCAGCTTTGTGACATCATGTTTCTGTATTGATTGCTAATCTGACCATCTGTATATGGCACTGGGTAAGGATGAATTATTATCCTTTTTACTTCAGGCTACTGGGGCGTTTAAAAAGAAAGGATCCTATACAAATCAAACTGGAGCAGTTAGAACAAGGATTTTCTCTGTATCTGAATGGAGCTAATTCAGAGCTGAGAAATCACCGCAGAAAAATCAGATCACATGGCTGCCTTAAAAATGAGACAAAGACCAGCAGGACAAGTGGTGAGTTACATGAGAGTTTTACAGAGACTGCAGTCTAGAACTATTTTAAACTTTTAGTCATCAGAGCTGTAGTTCCGTTGATGAGGTTGTTGGTCGGGCTGTGATAAAGAGACACCAGCATTTGAGCTTGGTGGAATGAAATTCCGGGGGACTCTTTTGTGAGAGCACTTAAGCTGGTTGTATGTAAGGAGCAGTCTTTGCAACAGCCTATTGATTTCAAAGTTAATCCCTGACTAATTCCAGAGCTTAACTACCCCACCTCTCCATTTGTTAAACAGTCATAACTAAAACTAGAAGATCAGAAATGCGTATAAATTATCAGGGTAAAATAACAGTGTTACCTTGTCTGGTACGTAACACCGTTAATAGGCTTTAAAATCTGATGGACTTCCATGTTGTCTGAGTCTGGTGTCTTGTAGGCAAGTGACATTTGAGTACATAGCCTATAATCAAACTATATCCAGTAATAGTTGTATTAAGCTCACAAATTATGTTTAAGCTATAATAGTTGTCTTAAAAAGATAGCTAATCTTTATTTAAATATTTGAATATTTTATCTACCATGTTCGCCAGTGATTAGCTGGCTTTATTTAAAAATGGTTATTTTGTTTCTAATTTAAGTCCTGTCTATCATAGAGAGCAATGTAGGAACAGGAATAATTTTGCATGTATGAAGGTATAAAGTGTGAGCTTACTGGTTTTCTAATCTGTTTAGCATAATGAAAATGCAGTCAATTTCACTAAATCCCTGTGTAAAGCAATTTACCCACCTTCGTTTTTTATCCTCACGCTCGCTACAACCTGTCTTAGAGTGTATTTTTTAATCCATTGCTGTATAGTGTCTGCTTGAGCTTTATTTTCACCTGAAAATGAAGACAAAGAGTTTAAGAGGTTACTTAATATGATAATTTATTATGATTAAAAGCTTATTAATCTCAACAATACTGGAAACTAACTTTTCTTTCACTAGCTGTTCTAACCATGATGCTAACTAACCTCGATATCTTTTTTTCCTTGTTTTCCTGCTGCGCTGGCTACGTACTATTTATTTTCAAGTTTAAGTGTGTTTGGGCTTAGCTGTCTGCTATATAATTTCTGGCAGGTTGTATGGGATGGTGATGAGGCATCAGCTGGTCACCCAGTTTCACTGTTCTGTATGAAAGTAAAAACTTGTGTGTAATGATGCAAAAAAAGTTCATAAGCTTGGATATCGGAAAACAAAGGGAATTGTGTGCTCTGTCACATGGGGTGAGGTACCTTTAGGTAGCTAAAGAGGATGTAAAATGTTGTCTTTGACTTTTTGGTCCAAGAATTGTGCAGGGATATTGTGGCAGCAGCTGTAGTAGAACTCTGTCAAGAGATGTTTCTTCTTAAAGTTCCGCTGTGCCACTGTTATCTCTAAACTGAACCAACCAAAGCTGTTTATTTTTATGGTCGCTTAATGCCATTTGATTCAGTTAAGGCAGAATGCTTCAGCTTGTCTTGGGGACCTTTAAAGACTTCAGAGGCAGTCTCTGTTCCTCTCCTTGACTCCATCAACTGAAGAGAGACAGCAGCATTGTCTCTGCAGAAGAGAACTGTTTTCCTGTGTCTTAGCTGTCTAATGTTATTTTAAACACACGTAGCTGCAGTGAGAGATATCAACTGAATCATCAACGTGTCATTTTTCTCCTTCCGTTTAATTTTACCACTAGAATCCGGAGTGGGAATCATTGGTGATCTGTATAAGCCTCTTGCCTGGGGGTAGTACCTTAGCAGTTTTGTGGTCTGGTTCACTTCTAGGCATTTCCTCTCAATGATTGAATATGATTTTACTTACAGAAATGATTTCTAGCTGAGATACAGCACTGAATTTTCTTCCCTATCCATCTCCCATGGGAGTTATTGCATCATTTATTACTTCTAAAGCATCCATCTATAGGATTAGTCTTCACTGAAAAATAAGGGATGTGTGGTACTTAATAATACAGAATGGGCACAAATCCCTCTCTGTGGTTCCTGAGAGTGTCACCATAAATCTGTTTGTCTGGACTATTTTATTTGTCTCTGTTCCCTAGGAGTAATTCATGATAATAGTCATTGATAAACTTTTTATGCCTAGGCTTGGTAAATGAATTAAAGTAAATGATGGACTTACAAGGTAGTGAAGCTGGTCTCTAGGTATACTGTCATTTCTTTGGGGGTGTAACCCAGACAGTTTCACAACCGTGTTACGTACTTCCAGTGAATGTTGGTGTGGTCGCAAAGACGTGGCTTAAGAGTAGCATGGGGTCTCCTTTGATTATGACTAATATTTTGATGATGTACTACTCACTTCTTGGCTACTGGGTTAGGCACTGTCAGTTCACGTCTCCAGCCAAATGACACCAGTGGACCTGTTTCGTGTGCTGAAAGAGGTAAAGGTTGGTATTCACATCCCCTCCATCCCATGAGAAGGGTGTTCTTGTTCATTGTGATGAATCCATCATAAAATACTCAAACATTTCTGAGAATTGAATACTCAGCAGTGGTAGCATGAGTCCTACTCTGTCCCCTTTTCCTACATACACATGTAGCATACATGAGTGGCCTTCTGGGCCGTTGCTTCGAAGAGATGCGTTGCTTAGGAAGTGAAAATGAAAGGTGCCTCCACTTCTGTCCCAAAGCAGTGACCAAATCAGACCACGCTTCTAGGGCTGTGATCTCAGGACAGTTCCCCCTTAGTGCCAGAGGAGCCCCATAGCAATCAGCACCAATGCTAACGGCTGCAAAGTGTTTCTGGAGTTACTTAGGAGGAGCCTCATGGAGCAGCAGGAGCTCTGGTTGGAAGGGCTGTTCTTCTTCCTTGGAGCAGTTCATTCCCTTTCCCCTCTGTTCTTAGTCCTTTTTCAGGCCTAAGAGACAGATGCTTTGTGCTGAACCAATAGAACATCATCTAGCTCTGCAATTTTATGATCACTCGAACTTGATCTAAGCACACACTGGTCCCTCAAGAGTGGTCCTGCCCTGTGCCTCTTCTCTCCTATCTGCTTCTACCAGCATTGGTGCAGTCTCACGGTGAACCAGATTGCACAAGTGTCTACAGTGAAAAGTAGTCTTTCTGTTGTGGTTTTTGCTCAGTTAAAACTTGCCCATTTGAATTCTCTGCACAGTTCCCTACAGAGGTACATGTTGGGTTGTCCAACCCCAAGAAGAGTGTTGTAAAGAGAAATGTGATCTTATGTTGAAGCAAGCCCTGCTTTGAATGGAAAGTTGGGCTAGGTGACCTCCAGAGGTTCCTTCCAAAGTAAATCTTTCTGTGGTTCTATGACCTTTGTAGGACAACTGCTTCTTTTATTGGTAGTGCCAGTTTCTGCTGGCTTAGGGTGGCCGTTAAATTATGGCTTAAAGAAAAAAGGTTTTGCATCAGCTATTTTTCTCCACTGAGAAGAAATGGAGGCTGTAAATCTGTCTTGGATATAGGAAATGAGATGCCTTTATTTAGGATGCTATTGGGAGTGCTGGTGATGTCCTTGCTCTGTTGAGGATGCTGATGTGACCTGCAAGATCTTTGTCTCTGTCTCAATCAAAGCATCTTCTCAAAAATCCATTGTTTCACTCTTAGTTGGGACGATCTTCAGCACAGGAACCCTCAGTTCTCCTTGGCCATACACAGAATTTTTGCAGAAGTTCTGGAACCAACTCTTCCTTGCTTCTAGAAATGAAGGAAAATGGTTGTTTGTCCTTCATTTATGACTTGTACATGAATAATCCTTCTCTGCATGGTATGTTAAATACCTAATACATTCTGTTTAATCTGCCAATGCCTTATGTTTCCTTAGTTTGAGAGAAAATGCACACAATTCCTTTGTAAACCCAGCATGTCACCTGGTGTTCACTGGGACCCTGTCTATCAGAGTCTGCATTCGGTAGTACGGGTTCTGGACTCAGTTCGCTCCCTAAGCCAGCTTACTTTGTGCGCAGATAGGAGTCAGAGTGATGGGCACCCCTGTTCTAGAATGTATTTCCATATTTTCGTATCAATGAATGTGGGGCTTCACTCGCTGTTAAGCTGATGTATCTTTAAACAATTTATTCTCTCGAATACACATGGTGATGACTGTCCCCAGAGAGGTTCAAAACTGCTGCTACTGATACACAGCTAGCCAGTGCCTGAAGTGGAATGCCTGTTCAGTTGTTGATACCATTCACTTGGCAAAGACTTACTCTTCTGTCCTCATCTGTGAGAAAAAAAAAAAAAAAAAAAGGGTGCCAACTAAGGTATATATTATTAAATACTGTATTTCTGTTTTCTGGCTTCTAATTCTTGTCTCTGTGTTCTGAAAAAGCAGCTTGGCTAGAAGAGCACATGTTGCGAGAACACAGCACACAGTCTGCACCAGGCAAAATACAACGCAGAGGTTGGCTTCAGGTAAGAAACAGTTTGAAAGAATGCATCTTTGAACTAATTCTTAGATTGTGAATAATTTTAGGGGACATAGGTTGCAACTAGTAGATAGGGGGCAGCTGGGACTCTTGTGGAATCTGAGTCTTGGTTTGTGCCAGTTTTGTGTCTGCTTTGAAGCCTGAAGAGGCAAACCTCATGGAAAGGGTCTGGTTTCAGTGACATGCGTCACAGAAACTTTTGTAGCCTTGATATGGTTGGGTCAATCTGTTCTCCAGCAGAAGAGCTGTTGCTTGACATCTCAGATGGCAAGCCTAGAGAGCTTATCTGGTGCAAAGGATGGAGAATCTAATTTTGGAGATACAGCCCTGCCTGTCACTGCTGTTCCCCACCCTGCAATAGTATTAAGGGACACAGAGGTGTAATTTACATAGCTTGAGTTGTAATTTGTGACAGATTCGTGTAGATCAGAAGAGAAGAAAATGCATATAGACCATAAAAGTCCCCTGCCTATAAGAAATGTGGAGCTATTAGCTACATGGTGGTTGGTTCACTGGAGAAACCTCAATGGTCTTTCTTTCCTTTGGTCTAAAGAAGGATCTGACAATCTTTCAAGGAGTATGACCTAATTCACAGAAAAATTGTGAATTCTGAACAGCTGAGACATGTCACCCAAATAATTACCCTACTTGATTAGCAATTGCCCTGGCTGGATGTCCAGTCCGTGCTTGAGTGACTGGGGATCGGGGGCCTGTGTCACTGCGGATCAAGTGTTCCTGTCTTGCAGGTTTTCTTTCAGCAAATATTGCTATTGTTTTAAGGCTGCATTGCTTCATTTATCACCCTTATGGCTTAGTTGAATCCATTTTTTCTGCTGCTGTTTCTCTTGGTAGAAGATCACTGCTTACATACTGGCCTGTCAGAACTTGTTTGCCAAATTTGCCAAATGTGTGGCTAGTCATAACCTACGTCATTCTAATCACAACAGCCAAGTGAGGAAGGAGGTGCCTCCTCTGACTGGGTTGGGAAGTTAACCAAATCTATGTAGCTGTACTAAAACCTAGCTACTACTTAAGACTAGCTTAGAATGATACCTTAAGTCTTTATCCAGTTGGATAACAGAGTTATAGTATCTTAATGAGCAACTGGAGTTATTTAGCTAGGGAAATGTGCAACCACTGAGTAAGATGCAGGTTGTGCCAGACAGCAGTTTACTTTCCCAGTAGTTTTCCCTGTGGGTTTGTTGGATAGCTAGAGGACCTAGCAGTTCGTGTTCAGAACTGTCAAACTTAGGCAATGCTAAGGTATGCTATGAGGTGGGAGGATAGACTTACTGAAAGAACATATTCTGTCAAAAGCCAGGTTGCCATAGGATATTCTTTCTGGGACATCCCTGCTCCTGGCACTTACAAGATGGTAGAGGGGTGTCTGAGCACCAGGTAGCTAAGTTTAATATCATTGCACAGCCTTTTGGATACCATTGCTTTCAATGAAACTGTCTTCTTCCCACTGTTCACTTATGAGGCTTCACCCTATTGGATATGTCTGCACCAGAGTTCAAAAGTGGGGAAAAAAATTGCTTGCAGAGAACTTTGTTCCTTGAGAGAGGGATATGCACTTCCTACTTTCTGTCATCTTATGAGTACTGAAATTCCGTGGTGTGGAAGGATGAGTTTCTCAAACCTTCTACCCTTCTTTAGCCATGCTTGAGTAACTGACAGTGTGCATACTTTGATTGCATCCTAATTATGAAGTAAAACAAATTAATTTGAACCACTTACACAGCCATGTCTGACATTCACAAAGGCAAATAAGTCTTTGTGCTGGAATGCTTATGGCATAACATTTTCCCCCTCATTATATTTTACACAAGAGTAATCCATCTTCAAACAACCACAGTTACCTCAAGCAGTCCTTTTCGTACATAGACGCTACAGAACCACAGAATTATTGTGGTTGGAAGGGAACTCGAGATCGTCTAGTCCAGTCCCTGTGCTCAAGCAGGGTCAGCTAGAGCAGGCTGCCCAGGACCATGTCCAGTCAGGTTTTGAATACTCTACAGATGGAGACTCCATGACCTCTCCACTCTTCCAGTGTTTGATCACCCTCACGGTAATTTTTTTTTTCTTCTGTTCAGATGGAACAGCAGGTGGGGAGCTTGACTGGGGCAGTTAAACCATAATGCAGGGGCCCAAAGGTGAGCTCAGGGAGGACAGAAACCTTCTGTGGAACAGAGGCGAGAAGCGCTGCTTGGTCTAGATATTGTTACATAAAATGTGATGATGATTCTTTTTGTGCTGCTGATAACACAAAAGATGTCTAATTTCTTTGAATGCTTCTCTCAACAGAAAAGTGTGGAGATTAAAACAGAAAGGGGGGCTAAACTCTGCATTAAACCTCCTCTTAAGTACTCTGAGGATTTTGAACCTTATGAAAGCTTGAGCGTGGAGACAAATGGTGATGATCCTCTCCGGCACTCCCAGGTACAATTGGCAGTTGCCTTCTATTGTTTGTGGTACTGTCAATGGAAGTGGGAATGGGACGAGGTGTCGGTCTTGACTAGAGCGCACAAACCCAGTACATTGGGTTTCTTTCACTAGATGATTTGTCATTGATGAGATGTGACATAAAGAAGGAGAAAATGAAAAAAAAAACTACTTCGAAAATATAATCTCAGTCAACAATGCAATAATATGTTCAGTCCTAGTTTAAAGAGGTAGAATATTGTCTCTCTTGGATAGCAGCAAGGTATTTTGTGCAAGGAGACCCTTTCAGTGCATTTAATGGTTGGCCACAGGAATGTCACTCTTGGCTGTCAGGTTAGCGAAGGCTTAAATAACAACTTTTTCTAAGTTTAGCTTAGTTTTTGAATATTTGTGTTTAAATTGTTGTGTGTTATTGTTTTACATAACAGAAGTCAGGGTAAAGTTTGTAAAGTATTACAGTCAATGCAGTTGCTTTCCCTCAGGGTTGTTGTTGTATTGACTCCAGTGTTCGACAGGTCAGCCTCCCAGTTAGCTGCTAATTGCAGTTTGTTCTAATGCACTTCACAAATGTCCTGTCCTTAAAAAAAATTAATGAAGGAATAAAAATTTATGAATGTTTTTCTGCCTAACCGATTAATGACATCAATAAAGCTTTTCTGGGTAGTGAAGTAGCATCTGTATATGAAACTGTCTGCAGATCTTACCCCTGACATCAGACAAGCTTCCCAGGGATAATCTCCTAGCTTGCGTCTTTCTACCTTTCCTATCTTACTTTTGAGCTTATGATTTTTTCTTTCTCTACCAACCAGTCACTTGTTTACTGTGATGGGTATTTATAATCATTTATGTGTAAGTAGTAAGCTACTAATTTTAAACTAAAACCCCACTTTTCTTTGTATCCCAGATAGAAATACTTTTGGTTTTCTTGAAGCTATAATGTGTTTTCTTGGATGTCTTGTTACAATGCAGATGTTATGAGGTTTCAAACTGAGAGAAAGCCTGTACAATCCCCTGTCAAATCCCTAGAAATGTTAGTCTTAACTGTCATAAAGACATGCTCAGTATCGATCCTCAGGTTGCTTATAGATACTCTTTTGAACCTAAGTTTTCCGGCTCTTTGCAGTATGTTTGTGTCAGCATGGATTTTCTGGTCAGTGTAATCTGTAGCAGAAGAGCAGCCAGAAGCTTTCGTTGTGACCTGAATGTACACTGTCATGGTTCATTTGTACCTAAGATAGCTTCGTGTTTTCGTTTTACTTGCAGAGTTTGCTTACCTATGCTTATCTCAAAACGCTAATACCAAGAAAGCAGGAAAAAAAACCACATTTAAGATATGTGTGTTTTTTTCCTTTTACATTCATAAACCCATCTGTGCTGTTTGTGACATATGCTGAGAGAGGCAGGGAAGTTTTTTTAATAGTAAACTTCAAAATAGATTAATTTTTTCATAAAGTCCTGTTACAGTGTATCCAATTTAAAAAGTCTGTGCAAACTGGAAGCTTAGTCCATTAGACCACAAGCCTTTTCTACTGTTTCTTGAAGTACAGATGGGTACAAGACAGGACTATTATCTATCCAATTACTTATAAAGAAGTTGCTATTACATCAGCTTTGCAGTCTTGTGAAGGCATTTGGAAAATCTGGATTGCAGCTAGCCTTCAAATAGCAAGGCAAAAGATACGGTAGTCTAACTGCGTGAGACTGGAAAAATACATGCCCTTGCCCTGTCTTACCTCCTGTTTTTAACTTATTCCAAAAAATTGTTTTTGCACATAAAAATTCCTTGGCCTACAGAATTTTCCTGCGAGGATTCTGATGAGAAGGAGCAAAGGAGTGCGTGAGACTGGAAAAATACATGCCCTTGCCCTGTCTTACCTCCTGTTTTTAACTTATTCCAAAAAATTGTTTTTGCACATAAAAATTCCTTGGCCTACAGAATTTTCCTGATGAGAAGGAACAAAGGAGTTGTAGGATGATTTTTCTTTACACACCCTCATCGGAGGAGTGAAGGCATGACATAGGAATGTGAATAGTCTTAGCTGCGTCATGGCTCTGAGGTCATGAGAAGATTTTTCTTCCTCCTAGGGGAGGAAGAGGAGCCCCATTGGTTTATCTTAAATTCCATATTTGAGCTTTTCTGATAAATCTGTTTGAATTGTACCAGAAATTGAGAAGAAGCTTGAAACTCGGTATAGAAGAGAAAAGAATGGATGAAGAATGTCTTAGTGATGATTACGAGTCTGTTGAAGAGGATGTGTGTTCAGAACCATCTCCCACTGAGGAAACAATTACAAGCTTTGGAGGCCTCCAGCTGCAGTCACCTCAGAAAGAAGCTTCGGAACATCAGGATGCTGGGAGATGCTCTGGCCTTGGTTCTGGTGTCCCCACTGTGCTGGAGTTCAACCAGGACCAAAGCAGTAAGTCTCTGTTTATTGTACACCACTACAGAACTACAATAATAATAATAACAACAACTCTTTGAGAGTGTTCCTTTTAAGGGAGTTGCTGCTAGTTAATCAGTAAGGGTTACTCCATACTCTCATGAGTTTTCATGCTCTTCAGCAAACCTGTTGTTTTAATCTCCTGATTTGGGGGACTTGCATCCTCTTACTACTACATTAAGAAATTTTTTGCAAAGACAAAGATAAAGCCCTGGTTAACCCACTTGCGTCACCAGGCCTAGGCACTTGAACTAAGATTGTCTCAGACTGTCTATAAGATTTTTTGAGAGATTATTATTTTTTTAATATATTTTTGAACTGGTTTTGCAGTAATCCAGGCAACCAAATCTTCCCAGTCTCAACTTCCTCCATTTCACATCCTGGATGCTGGTACTGGGCGTCATAGCGTGTGCTGTTCATCCCTGATGAAAGGTGTATTAATTCAAGAGAACAAATCTGTCTAGCTATGAACCACTTCTTTTTGTCAGGTCTTTTCCTTTGGAGACCTCAATGTCCAAACCCAAAACCAGTCACTATGTCTCCAAGATGTCTAGCTTGTTAAAGGTAGAGAGTTCAGGCAGAAACCAGACCTTGACCCACATTCAGTATTTCTCAAAATTCCCTCCCCACTCATTTCAGGTATGTTCACTGGTTTTGTTTTTTGTTTTGGGGTTTTTTTCTTTTCTTTTCTTTTCTTTTTTTTTCTTTCCCTTATCCATAGTTAATTCCTTAATATAGAGGAACAATCTTTGAACAAATTGAATACAGGAGTGTTCCTTTCATTATCACAGAGGTGAGTGGAGTGTGAGTGGGGAGAGGTGGCAGAAGAAGAGGTAGGAACAAGTGATGGAGCCGCAGTGAGAACAAGATCCTTGGGACAGAACACGATTTTCTTCCCAGAGAGAAGTTTCAAAACTGTGATGCAAAATATGGAGGCATTAACAATTCTCAAATAAAAAAACCTGAAGAAATACTATTATGAAATACAGTTGGCAACCCTTTCCCCCTTTGAAACTTCTAAATAGGAAAACATGTTAGTCTGTATTTTAAGAATTTGGTTTTGGTATAACTATGGATTCAGGACTTTTGCTTTTCTTGACAGTAATGCAGGTAGATATCTCATACAGATGAGATACATTGGTACCTTATAGTGATATATTTTATTTTGTTTCACTAAGCCAGTGCAAGCCATGCGTATGTACTTCTACATCAACAGAGCAGTGTCAATGAAAGGGAGGGAGGATGGAGGTTATCACTTTAACTATGCCAGCATAATTAAAGTGGCAAAATTGTAACAGTTAAGATCCTGTAAGTGTTCCCTGGCTGGCTGCTGCTAAATATCTCTGAAGTTAATTATTTCTGTCCCCTTATTATCTTGCAGAAGTGAAGCCACCACGAGTCCTTTCAGCGAAAAGAAAAGACAATGCTGAAATGTACATTCCTGTCAGACCAGTCGTGGTAAAAGATAAAATCACTCAGCCCCTCTCTGATGAGTTCTCGCAGCAGGAAAGACATGAAAGAATTTGTTCTAGTAAGAAATAAGAATATATAATGTAAATAAGGAGAATTTTCTTGCTTTTTTCCCCTCTGGCTCAGATGTAATTTCAGCACAGATCTGTTGTTGTGTGATTTTTCTTAGATGGCCCTCTGTTTTGTGGGGTTTTTTTGTTGTGAGATTTTTGGGTTTTTTTTGTTGTTGTTGTTTTTACCACCTTGAGTGTTTTGACTTAAGTAAAATTGAGAGCAAATCCAGAGCCTGTACACTTTAGTCTGCTGCTGCATCTTTACTTCCTTCCTTGTCTTTTTGTTTCCACAACATAAGACTTTTTCCTCTCCCTTTCAGTCCTTGTGCTTGCTCTTTTTTTTCCAATTTCCTCATGGAGATCTGTTCCCTATGGGATTAACAGAAGTGTGTCTTCTCAAAATCAACAACTGACACTTTGGTGGAAGATTTTAACGCAATGCATTTATAGCAATAAAGGCATAGTTTTCCACAGCAAAAATAGTTCTGTTGCTGCTTGGGATTGTGCTTGAATGACACCTTGAACACTGCAGATCAGTCTCCAGTGCTGGGTAGCTGTGCTGGTATCTAGTACCATACTGGAAAATGTTTTTCCTGCACTGGAGAACACAATTTTGAAGGCACTGCTGCTTAGTCTAGAAGTCTGCTGCTGAGATGTGGTCTTTACCTGGGCTAAAAATAAAAAAAAAAACCAAACCCCAAAACAAGGAGCTGAGGTCATGGCTGCAGTTGTTATTTCAGCAAAGTCCTTAATTGTACAAGTCTGATGAACCTGAGTTTTGAAAAGTCTGAGATAAAGTTTTCAGACTTCCTGTACTCTGCGGTTAAGGCATTCTTCAAAAAAGCAAAATCCAGATGTGTCCCAAGAAAGCAATAAAGGTAATGGTTTTGAAAAGTCAAAATATTAGTTTGTTAATTGGCAGAAAACCAAATTGAGGAAAAGAAGCTAATTGGTTTTGGCTTCAGAATAAATCTTCTTTGTAGCTCCTGAGACCCTCACCCACCATCTGTGTGAGCAGATGCTTGCTTTGACCGTTTTCCAGAGACGCGTGGAGCATTTTCTCAGGTTATAATAGTGCTTGTTAGACCTGTTTCTGTCCAACTATCACTTTAAATCATTAAATTAATTTCATTTCAGGGGGATGGTATAGTACAGAAAAATAAAAAGGACCTTATTGTGTCCCTATATTTCCAGAGATGACTAATGCTTGGTGAAAGTTTTTATGAGTGTAGATGGCATAGGGCTTAAAGAGTGTGAATGCACCCGAATCTCAGTTTGGTTTTAACCTCCTGTCTTTTCAAGGTAGACTTCATGTTCCTAGCACCCACTGCCATTTTACTTTCCTGCTTAGTAAACCCCACCGCAGTGTTATGAGCACACTTGCATATCAGCCTGTTCTTCAATATTTTCACTTGATCTTAATGGCTGTACAACTTTGGTCTCTTTTCTTCCCTTGACTTTTGAAGTCCTTGAATACAACCACTGTGCTTCTCTTTCAGCCCAATCTCAGATCCTCTATTGTTAAATTTTATTTCCTTTCTTTTAAACCCATTTATAGGCTGTGACTTTTTTATTTCTCCATGATGTTTGGAAAGATTGGGATGTGTATGGGCATTTTGATGACTACTTAAGTTATAAGGTTTTCATTTTGCCTTGCAAGTAGCATCTCCTGAGTCTCCTTGTTTTGCTAGAAGACTCTGGGGATTTCTCCAAAATAGCTGAACGCCCCAGTAACACTGAAAAAGATTCTGGTGTGGGGAAATTATGTATACTTCTTTTTCAATGAACTGTAACAAGGCATTTCCATTAAATACTGGAACAAAGCAAGTACAAAAAAAATTTTAAAGCATAAAAATTATGTTTCTCATTTGTCAGTCTTCCTCCTGTTACGATACTGATTCAGCTATTGTCTAGAGTAGATGTGACCTGGAATCTTAAAATGAAAACAAATTGGAGCAATTCAGCCTCGCTTGGGATGGTAGCAAAGCCCTGTGTCAGTAACTGAATTGGATGTTTCCAATGTACGCTGTTGTAATGTTCTATACTTGTGTGTCTAGACGAATGAATATGCCTTCCTTCTTTTGGTGGCAGGACCATTAAGTCGACCAGAAAGACCACTTTCAGCAACTCGAAAGAGCGTGTGTGAGAAGGATCCTGATCTCTCCGTTTCAGCTGTGGTTAAAGCGATGCAAATTGAAAATGAAGTCTTGCAGAGAGATCTGCAGCGGCAGACAGTTTCCACAAGCCCTCACAAAGTATGGCAAAGCTGTTTGGTCAAGTAGCGAGACGCCTATGAATTACAATCTCTTATACTTTAAGATTGTGTATGAATGAATGGTGATGCCTCTTCAGTGTAATTGAATTTGTATTATTCTTCCATAGGGTGGTTTTCTTTAATTTGCTTTCTCAGGATAGCATCTCACAGCTCTCTCTTGATTTCAGGGATCACTGAGCAACTGATAGACCACTCACATGGTATGTCCATACAGTTAGATGCACAGCTGCAGGCCCAGCTGAGCCATTTTCATGCTGGAAGCTTCTTAAACAAGATAATTTGGGATTTCCATGCATATAAATCCTACCTTCCTACTGGACTGATGAATATGGGCGCCGTTCCCTGTTAATGCATGTTATGTACACTGCTAGCTCTGAGTGAGGAGGAGCTCGTGTGGGTTTTCCATACCAATGCGTGGACATCACTTATTTCCACAACTGTGTTCAAAAGCAATTAAAAACTCCTCTAAAATAAGGAAATCAACAAAAATCCATTCCCTTCTGATTCAGGTCAGACCATTATTCCTTTTTAAGTTAAAGAATAAGGAAGCTTGTGTTGACAATCCGAGCTCAACTCTGAGCATAACCAGTATTCCAGTTCTCCTAACAGAAAGTAAGTACATAAAGAAATTTGAACATGAAATTTACAAAACTATCTCTTATGGACAGTGTTCATGGATTCAAAGTCTGCTTCCAGTTTGGTGCTTAGGAGACTCATTTTTGTAGGAAGGAAAAGAGATAATGCATAGACATTCTTGGAGCTCCTCATTTGAATTCTGAGAGTTTCCAAGCCAGCTGACTGCTTTAACCTAAGCTGGTGCTCCCTGAAGTTGTGAGTTGATGCTATAATGAATATTTATCCACTGCCATTGCTGAGCCAACATGAGGTTTCTGGGGAGTTTTGGTTGGGAGCAAAGGTCAAAATATTCTTTTACCATAGGTAAGTACTTTACATATTATTTCACCATCTAGGTCAACTTTTCAGTCTTATTCCTCTTGTTTTTGACGTATTTATAGCTTTGTGATTGAGAGAACAGATTCTCACATAATGTATCTTCCTGCTAACATTAGGACTATTTTTAATATTGTTGAGCTTAATTGAAAAGTAATGTAACAATACATAAAAGAGACATCATTTTACCCTTACACTTGAGATGGAGTTTTAAAAACACACTGTGAGTTCTCAGTCTTAAAGCTGACCTAAATGATCTTTCAGAAGTAATTTAATTTCGCTTACAGAATTGAGCGATTGTGGAACTTGGCCTTTGAGATTAAATGTATAACAATGCAGATTTTTTTAATACTAAAAAAGTAATTAACTTCTAAGCATTTTAAAGTTCTCTTAATCTTCAAAAACTATAGAAATGAAAGTGACCTAAGAACAGAAGGACTGCCACTCCTCATCTGACTAGTTGTTCACTGTGCTGAGTACTCTGTCTCTGACAGAAGCTACCAATACATTTTTAAGAAAAATGAAAAGAGGGTGCAGGTTATACATACAGAGTGGGTACAGGTAGAGAAAGAGCCCATAACATTGTAAGAACTGCAGGACTTTTCCTCTGTTTTCTCTCATATAGTCATAGAACTGGTAGTTCTATATTTAAAAAAATAATTCACGCTTTTTTTTTTTTAATAAAACTGAGCTTTTTGGGCTTTAAAAGTCCTTATGATCCTTTTTTGGATAAGGAGAAAATCTAGGCAGACCTGTGCCAAAGCTTTGTCCAAGTCCTGCCAAATGTATACAGTGAGATTTGAGACGTATATATGTATACACACACACACACGGGATGTTTTTTAATAGTCATCAGAGAATGCTTTGACATTACTTTTCTTCCACAGAGAAGATCAAGCTCCAAGCTCAGCTCTTTCATTGCAAATTAAGACCAATTCTGTTGACTGTGCTTTAACTCAGTACAGGGTTACAGCTTAGCTGAGGTTAGCTCAGACCAGAGCTGGGCCCAAACTCTTATTTGTTCCAGAGATGCAGATTGAGACGTGAAGGTGTGTGAAGAACAGTGTGAATGAAACATGTTCATCTTTTTCTTACTTAGAAGAAATCTTCTGTTTCATCTATTGTTTCTGCAACGGCTGAACCTCCAGAAGAAAGCCAGCCAAGGTCTGCAGTCGCAAAAGCTGTTGAGAAAATGTGTCCTTTGGGAAGCAGGTATATCTGTTTCCTTTAAGGCTAGCTGCCTTTTTTGAAGAGATATTTTTCAGTATACCACCAGTTACGGTGCAGTACCACTACACCTGGTAATCCTTAGATACCTGCCACATCATGCAAGTAGGAGCAAAGCAGGGAGAAGGTTCCAGCCTGGGGAGAGTCTCTGTGCATCGGGGAACTGCCAACATCTCCCTCTGTTTGCCTTTATATTACCTGTGTCTTACTTTCTCAGACTGCCTCAGAACCAGCTGAGAACTGGAGCCCAGTCTTTTAACCAAACTCTGGGTATCCAAGGTGGGATGCTGCAACTGGTGTCGTTCAGTGTAGGGGTACGTGGGATTCTCCCACGGGGTGTGTGGGCTCGTCCTATCATCTCTTCACCTTTGCACCAACAAAACTTTTTCTTAAAAATACAAGAATGACAAGAAAGTAACACATAAAAGAATATGTATGTTTCAGACAACAGAAGAAACTTCTGAAAGTCTTTTCGGAGCCTGAGAGCCATTCTGCGTGTGCTCATGACATATTCCTGCCTGATGACAAATCTGAAGTAGATTCCATGTTGAGAGAGAAGGTTTGTGTATATATGCACCATAACTGATGCTTCACAGTATTGCTGAAATAAAAGTACATTGGATGATCTGTATTCCACTGATTCTGCCCCACGTCAGCTAATAAACCTATGGCAGGGGAAGAGAGGAGAATTTATCACTGTTCCTGTGTTCATCAGAATGACAAAGGAATCGGACAGAGAACAAAGAGCTGTTTTCTCCTTAGGCTTTGTAAGAGGTTGATAAGTTCTTTTCTCTTACATAGATGTACTAGTTGATGTGGGGTGGAATTGGTGGAACCCAGAATAATTGGATGTCTTGAGTTTGCAAGCTTTTTGCTTCTGACTCGTCAATATTTTAGTATTAACAGTCTTTGTTTTGTTCCACTTTTTTTTGTCACTTATCTTTGTTCCATATTTCATTTTGGTCCAGATGACAACCAGTATGGAAGTACGTGATGCCATTTATGTGACTATGGAACTCCTTTCTAATTGGGGAAATCCAGTAAACGTGGGCCTGAGCGAGGTGGAATTCTTTGATTTACACAACGAAAAAATATTTGTGTCTCCTCATGATGTGGACATTCGAAATGCTGACAGCCCAGGGGATTTGTGCTGCTTGGTCAATAAGAACTTAAATGTAAGACAGCTTAGTCCTGGATGTGAAAATTTCTCATGATATTTCTTAATATTCTGTCACTAGTTTTTTTTTGTTTAAAAACATGATTGCATTTTGAACCTGACTTGTATAACAACTATCTTATAATTTAAAAAAATATAAGTATTGCTTATTATTAACAAATCCAGCTTTGCTGTCCAAGATTTTGGTATTCAGTTATAATTTTGTTTTAGAACAGAATTTGATTAATTTGTCTGACTTACTTAACTGAGCAAATGGAAGGAGACAGTTTTAACTCTACCTCCTTATGTATTAACTCTGTGCTATTGTCTTGAATGAAAGAACACATTCAGTTTTTAAAGTATTGTAATGTAATCATAGTATCTGTAGAATGAGACCACAAAACTTCAAGGACAGGGAATTTCACATTTGTACAGAATGTCTGCTGATAATTTAAGTGCTGTCTGGAAGATGACAGTAGTAGTAGTCCTAGTAGTGACTCTCAGACTTTCCAGATGATTATAAATTATGTAGTAGTATATTCATTAAGCATTATAAACCTTTTATTCTCAGCATTTCTCATATATTTATATATCCCATTATTCTTAAGTAATGAGGTTTTAGATTTCATTGATTAATATATTCCTTTGATTTGTGACTCTGTAATCTCCTCTCCTGATGCTGGAAAAGTATTACATCAGAGAAGATGCAATCTGGACAGGGAATATGGTCTTAGAATGTGGATATGTGATAACTGAACTGCAGACTCCTTCAGAAGTCAAAGTGGCGTGTACAGTTTGTGTTTCAGATCATACAGGAAAGTTTTTGGGTGCATTAGAAAAAAAAAAACCAACAAAAAATTAATGAATCTCCAAGCAATTAATATTTTCAACAGAATAAAAACTTAAGATAAATGCTTATGTCATGGTTTGACCTGGCTGGCAGCAAACACCACCCAGCCACTCGCACACCCTCCTGCCTCCTGGGGAATGGGGGAGGGAATTAACGTGGTAAAGGGAAAAGAGACTCGTGGGTTGAGATAAGAAGATTTCAGTAACTAAACCACAGTAAAAGACACAATATTCAGCCTGGCTCTGATATGCCTTCTACCTGTTAGAAGATCACAGAACCATGGAATCACAGAATGGTTTGGGTCCAAAAGGACCTTAAAGATCATCGAGTTCCACCCCCCTGCCATGGGCAGGGACCTCCTCCCACTAGCCCAGGTTGCTCAAAGCCTCATCCAGCCTGGATGTGAGTGAAAGGATATGGAAAACTGCTGGCTTTACGTACCTACTGTGTGACTGTATGTATTGTGTATCCTTGAAAATAGAAAGGGGGCTAATTTATCTGCTAATCTCAGATCGCTGGAATGCTGTCTGCATGTATATTTACTTTGTGCCCTCATTCACCTCTGTTATGGGGTAACATTTGACATCAAGTGTATTAACATTCAACATTTTGATTCTGAAACTCTGTACTCCTTGCTTCTTTCTGAGGTGCCACACATCCTTTTCCTCCATTTCTGGACCGGTAGAGGTAGCAGTTCTGAACAATGTTCAGAATTAGGCATTGTTCAGTACTTCAAAATGTCTTGATTGTCAGTTGTCTGTAAAATTCATTCTGGGAGTTTCTGTGAGATCTTAGAAAATTTGAAGTGTAGAGCCCTATATATAGCTCTAAGGAGCAGATCTGTAAGTGAAATTAGTTGTCTGCAAAGCCTGATTAAAATAGAGGCAGAGAAATAAAATTCTCTAAGATTCCCCTGTTCAGAGGGCAAAACGGAAGTGTAAGCACTTCAAGAAATCATGAAATGATTATACAGTGTCCATTGTGCTCAGTGATCCCTTCTAGTGCCCATAAAGCTGATTATTTTGATGAAAATAACCCGGGCTTGCTCTGCCCCTGCAGTTACAAAGCATGGCAGCCTGCCTGTCGTCGGTGAGCGTGCAGATGTCTTACTGGGACAGCGGCAGACGACCTTTATCTGATTGCCAGGTTGTTGTGAGCTGTCTTACAGGCAGGAGAGTCGGATTTACTGGTTGGAAATGAGGTTAAGATTTTGCTCTTAACGCAGTAGATTTTATTACATGGTAACTTTTCTAATCGATGTGTATTTTTCTGTGGGGTGGTGAGTTAATTAAAATATCCTGCTTTAGGAGAATTAGTGACAGTCTGCTTGTGTGTGTTCCTAGATCACGAAGGAAAGCTTCCTGTGGATGTGCCCTTTCCATCCGCCCATCCAACTTTACTTTGTTATCCGCAATCCCACCCAGTCACGTGACTTTGGTATATCCAAGATCAAGATTTGGAATTACAACACAACAACTCCCTGTGTAAGTACTCTTTTCTCAACCCCTCTTTATGTATGCTCTACCTTGCCTAGGGCAATGCCGTTTGATCTTCTTTCCAAAAGTATGAAACAGAAATAGATACCATTTTCTCTCATAAAATAGGGAACTAGGAGGGGTCCATGTCTACTGTGAGATTTGCTTTTGTTTTAATTGTAAGGGGTAGCAATGTAAGTGTTAACGTTTTCATAGGCACAATTATAATTTCCTTTCAAAACTACTAAAAACCTCTAAAGACCTAATAAAAAGCTTGTATATTCTGTCAGTTAATCCTTTATTGTGGTGAGGAATAGAGATACAAAGGTAAGTGCATCTTAATATTCAGGACTTTCAGTTGTTTTATCACAATATAAATAAATATATGTTTAAATATGTAGTTTTTTGTGTGTATAAGTATAAATAGGCTCACTGTTGCTCGATTTTGGTTTTGTCACTTTAATTAAAAAGTATACTAACTGTGTGTTCATAATACAATAAATAGTCTAGTGTTACAAGAGAGACATCTCATGGCAGATGGTCTCTTGTTTGTGCGTTTGAATGTCACCATGGAAATTATTCTTGTTCGAATGCTGCAATGTTAAGAAAAAAATCCCAGGTACTGGATCAGAGAGGATTTGCTGTCCTGGATTATAAATAAGAGGCTTTATCCCTCTGGTTTTGCTCTCATACGTGTTCTTATATAAGCACATATGGTAATTTATACATATGGAAATGGCCATGGAAGGGATAGATTAAACCAATTTACTATAAGGTGATTTATATTTATTTTCTGGAATTTTAATAGCTTTTTCTATTAAAATGTCGGCTACAGAATATTCCATCATCATTAGAGAATGTGAAAGGGACTGCTGTTTTTGGCGGTAATAGTATGATTTGTTAGCTAACCTATTGAATATAATGCAGGAAATATACATAAATGTATTTCTGTGTTCCAAGGCACTGTTTTTTTAAGAAACCACTACGAGGCAAGCTATAAAATCCATTAGTAGTGTAATCCCATGGATTCTGGTGGCAGTGCAGCAGTCTACACTGACTAAAGAAATGTCTCATTATCCTTAAGATGAAAGAGTAATACAAAGCAGTTCTGCCTAATTCTATAATATGTCATAAGAAAGTTTTGTCTGAGAAGTATAAAACCCCAAAATTTAATTAGCTAACAATTTTCTTCCTGCTAATGTAAATCCAGAGCCTGATTTCTGTGTGGGTTTTTGGTAATAATTCTAACCTTCTTTCCTTCAAAAACCATGTAAGTGAGAGGTGGCCAAGTACTTTTTCAAAAAATAGGTAAGAAGTTAGTTCAGAGCAGTACTTTTGCATGTTTGAGCTTTGGAACTTGAGTCTGAAAGTAGAAAAAAATATGCCTAAAGGAAACTGTAGAAGTCAGATTACACCATTGTCATAGATTCCTTGATTCATTGTATTCCAAGGAAGGTTTCAGAGAATGCTTCATCTTGCCTTTATTTACTTCAGATGAGGTCTACGAAGAAGGAGGTAATTTTTAGTCTGCAAGAAGAGATCAAGTGTAAGGAAGGGCAGCCAGTTCTTTTCAAGTTTTCCTGAAGTATTCAGACATTTTGTAAATACTTGCTACAGCCTTGAAATTGCATTGTTAACCCAATGCTATTAAAACTCTTTTCAGAAGATCCAATGTAATGTCTGTTGTATGTCTTCACAAATCTGTGAATAGAATTAATACTTAAGTTCATGAAGGTCTTAATTGCTCTCCAGCTGTCTTGTTTTCTTCTTCAAGCGATTGCCTGTATGTGTGTTCCTCCTGCGTGTATTTTCCTGTCCATTCTCTTGAGTTGGACATTTTTTTCAGTGCTGGACTGCCACTGGAGTGCATCGTCTGTCAGGATGCAGCAGCTTTGTTCCAGCACTGTTGGGTTTATAGAAGAATTTCTTTCTTCTAGTTCTTGACTTACTGCTCCTTCTTTTTCACACTTCTGTGAGAAGTCAGGCAGAGGCACCTTCATGTCCTCTCTGCAGGTATAATTCGTGGAAAAGTGCCTCTGATTTTAAGCTTGGTCCTTCATGCACAAATATCACTGAAATGGCCAGAAATACTGTCCTTGCCGCTTCACTGGAAAGCGCTGTCCCGGCAGGCACGCCGTGAGGGCTGAAGGTGCCGGGTGGGAAGGAGCATCAAGAGAAACCATAGAACTATTTTCACAAAACCTTTCATGTTTTTCTCTCTGATGTTGATCACACATACGTGCTTGTTCTGAGACATTGTGCTGTTCTCATTACTTTTCAGGGATGAAAAAAAACCTGCCTTGGATGAAGTATTGAGTGTTTGTTTACAGGGTGGCTTCTTGATGGAATTACTCATGAGGAAGGGATTTCTCCGGGCTCCTTATGCTCGAGGAGAGTTAAGCAGGGGTACTAGAGAAACAAACCATTCTGTCAATCTTTCCCACCATATCGCATCACTAAGCGACTGGAAGCTCAGAAGAGGGGTGGGAGGGACTGAAAAAGAGCAGTTCGTAGTCTTGTGTCTGCATATGTTTGTTCTAGGAGTCCCAGAGATCTGTTCATGCTTTCCCTCCCTGAGCATCAATCTGCTTAGAATTTTGGTGCAAGAGATTGTCATTAGCTCTTTTACTTGTTCATTAATAGATGGTTCTTCTGAGCCATCAGCTGCCGTCAGTTCAGCCTGTCTGCATTGTCCTGGAAATGTCTGCAGCTTTGTCTGGTTCATCTGGATACAGTGCGGACACCTCTTCTGCAGCCTGCAGTACCTATCCCAGACATTCCGAAACATCAGGGAACGGGAAGTCATTTCCCACTGACTGGCACGGCAATTGTCAAGTGGCTGGCCTTTTTCTGTGCTTGGCCGTCTCAGGGAGAATAAGCTCCACCATCTCGTTTTGTAATGTTTTCTCTGTCTACCTGTCCTCCTCCAGTACTGGTGGGTGGAGTGGGATTCATTTCAAAACGTTGTTTTTTAGCTGATGTTAATTTGAAAAGATGAACTGGACAAATACTTTTCAAAATAGATATGTATATTTCTGTGCTTCCATGCAGTTCCTATCTATTCCCTGCTCAAAATACAGAACTAAGGCTTGAGTATTCCTAACAGCAGTAGAGGCTAGGATATGATGGAGAAATGTTGCAGTTACCCCAAATTCAACTGTGAATATCTAATATCTCTAGCATTTTAGGAGGACATTAACAGTCCAGACACACAGAGATCCAAAAAACATCATCACTGGGGCATCCCAATAGTCTTTCTCTTCCCCATCATAATTTCAGGCAAAGCCATGTAGTTAGTTTTTGATATATCTAATTATTAAAGTGTTTTGATCCCCAATTAGATTAATCTAGCAGTCTCCTTGTTCAAGGGGAAAAAATATCATGTTTTATGGGCAAATGCATCAGTGCAGACATACAGCGCTTTATGATACTCCAGGAGTAACACAGGCAGCCATGACATAATAGCCAATTAAGCTGGGTTTACAGCTGTTCTCCGAGAAGTTAGTGAAGGTTATATTCTTCTATCAGGAATGTGTCTCGCATTCCTACACCTACTCCTCTCCCTCAGCTGTTGCTTTCTTCTTCTGCCTGCATCTTGTGTTTTTCCTCTGTGTAGGTCCGTATGATGTTTTTCACCTCATACATGTTGTTATTTGGAAAGCAGCAGAATGGACGCTGTTAAGAGCTGTAAGCTGTAAGGGGTGCATGCACCAGTGGAGAACTGGAGAGACATGAAGGTGAAGGAGTAACTGGTTTAGGCTGGGAGCAGAGGAAAACTGAAATCAGTATTCAAGGAGAACCGACATCCAGGAGATGAGCAAGAGGGATGAAACTGAAACTTAATACTTTAATGAAAAGCTGCTCAGTTTCCTTGAA